CCCCCCCCCCCAACCCCCCGCCCTGGAAGGCTAGTAAGAATTGCATTTGCAGGGTTGTGAAAAGCAGCCACCTGTCAGCAAGATTCATGATCTTGGCCCGCTACTCTGCTGGGCTATTCTTCTGAAGCAAAACCTTTGTGACAACCCGACTAGGTCACATGATAAGCTATGCATGTACATGTATGCAAATAAAATAATCTTTGCAAGTATACACTTAATTAAGGTTCTTTATCTACTCAGTGTTGTGGCCTGGTGGAGTAGCCTTATATTTGCTGTAATATACTTTCCTATATTTATGTCATAACTTTTATATATATTCTATTATTATGTAATCTATGTTAGGTAATAGCTTCAGGACTCCTATTGATAGCAGAGATGCTTTGTAAGCACCCTGAAGGGACTACCCTGAAATTTATACCTTTAAATTTTTACTTTTAAATAAAGGTGTCCATCTATCTATAATTTTCAGTATAACACAGTTTCATGTTGTGGTCTTTGAAGAAAAATTATCTGGCTGATAGTAAAAGGAAAGAAAAACTGTAGACAATAAGACACCCCAGAGCCTTTATTTAGTATTCCTGGGAGAGCAACAGGCTTATTAACATTTTTGGCAGATAACTTAAAGGCTTTATGCACTGTTCAATTGTAACCCCAACCCCTAAGCCCCTGGGGAATAGAGGGGAATTCACAAGAACATCTCTGTAATTTTATAAACTTCCCCCAGGCCCCAGGGACAGATTCAGGTGGAAATTGCCCCTACCCCTAAACCCAGAAGTTTAGATTATCAAACATTATTATACATTCACTTCTCTCTTTGCAGTTTTCCTGAAAGGAAATATGGGATCCAAATATTATATTAAACCATGCATTAGATTGACAGTTGTGCCGGTGATTAGCTAACAACGGAACTTAGGTAATGCTATAATAATACAGGTTAACAACTTATTGGAGAGCGACATTAACAGCGCTAACAGTCAGTACCATTTAACATCACAAATAATGACTCATTGTTGCATGTGTCTCATCAGTTTTTGGTTGTAGTGTACAATTAAACCCAGCTCTGTCTCACAGGGTGGTGGTTTACATAGCCATCAAGGTAATTGTTTTAACCTTATTAGCAAGAACTGTTATCTTAAGTACGCGCAATGAAGCTGTAAAGTTGGTTATAAGCTTAACCTCAAACCAGAGCATCATTGAAATATGAAATTCTAATCTGCTTCTGGTCCATAGTCATGTAATTTTCTCTCTTTTTTCCCAATAGCGTTTAAAGTTGTAGTTTAATCGTAATTTAACAATACCTTTCATCGTGTAGCGGAGAATATCCCCTTTACTTGGAAGTCGCCATCTTTACGCCTTAGTAACCGCGCACATCGTCAGTAGCTCACTGTAATTGGTCGAATACCATCACGTGGTGAGGAGCCCAGTTTGCGCGGGAATTTTTGGCTCCTTTTGCGCACAACGTTCAGTTAACTAAATAATTAACATCAAAGCCAAGTGGTATCAAGAACAACAGCAAAGAACGAAAGACACAGACTAAAACTCGAGAGAAACACAGAGCTAGCACGAGCTTTTGACGTAAAATACGTGTTACAGCTTAGACTTAGACGATTGAAAGGTCAGTTGTTGTTTGTTTTTTTTTGGTTTTTTTTTTTTCTACTGGTTAATTGGTTTGTGTATTTTATGCACTGTTTAACTGGTTTGAGTCCTATGAGAGGTTTTTTTTTAATGATAAAAACCAAAGGCCGCTGCAAACAGAATACATGGAATTTTTGAAGCCTCTTTTTGAGATATCGTTTGTTTTCTCTGTTTCACAGTTTCTGCTGTGGTGAGGTGTGCTTCTTCGATTGTCTCTTTTATTTGTTTTCTTGTTTCTTTGTTTCTTTGTTCCTTTCTTTTTACCAGTTTTCCTCTGAGCGGGTGTGGTTGGCTGGAGACGACACATAACTTGGTGTCTACCTTTACCTTTACTACGTCATCTTATTCATGAACTCAGAACAACAACAGCAACTTTATTCACTCGTACATTTACAGGTTTATAAAATATATGCAAATACAAGGACAGAAAAGAGAAGAGAAGGTTTTCTAGTCAGTCTCCGGTTATTGTAATGTTTCTATGGATATTTAACAGAATACAGAACTGTTAGTAGTAGAGATGAGTACATGGTATAATAGAATGAAGAAAATCGAAATAAGTTATCAGGAGGTTCTTCAGACAGTAAATAAAATTTCAGTTTTTTAGAAAAGCTGAATGTATTGAGATCTTTAAGATGAGTGGAGATATTGTCCCGGAGAATAGTCGCTGTGTAAGGTATTGTTTGTTTTCCAGAAATGAATTGGTACGCGCTTTTGATATGTTTAGCGGATTTTGTCTAGATGCATATCTGCTATTATAATATCTGTGTACTTTACTGGCGAATTGTAAGAAATCTTGATCCAAGCTTGGTAAAAGACCTTTAAGCCAAAGATGCGTGAAGTAAGACTTAAGAAGTAAGACTTTTCTGTGTTTGACCAGTCCCGGCCTCCGCAGCTTATTCAAGGGTCCAGTATGTCAGCAGGCTCAACCTGGGGCGGGAGGTTGGGGAATTTTGAGTGATTTCAGCATGTGGTCTTTGTTCGGCAGATGCTTGCGTGTTAGGAGAGTTTGAATGTTGACATTTGGGTTAATATATAAATTAACAGGAACTATGTTAAAAACAGACTTAAACGTGGACTCTTTTACCAAGTGCCGGAGTAAACCTCTTCAAAGCGAATAGTGGTCTTCTTTATACCTAGGCTTCCAACCGGTTCATCACCTCAACGTTTTGACGCCGGGTATTTTCTGTACACGTAAACAATCATCACCTGAGGCTGGCTAGTCCATGCCAGAGAGAAAATTCCAGAGAATTACATTTGCTATGTTATGAGGAGACTATAAGTGACTTCTTATCTAACCCGTGTAAATCAGAACTGACTTTTTACAGGCAGAAAAAGAGAGCTTGGCTTTTTGGACAGACGCATTTTTGAAAGCAGCCAGTCAGGTATACGTCTAAACTATTCTATTCTTGGAAATAAATATAATCTAAAAGAAGCAACAACATTGGAAAAAAAACGTTTATTTGCCGTTTTCTAATTAATTTATTATAAGTTACATGCTATTTAGCTCCTTTACAGTTCAACCATATACGACCAATTCAGTGCAACTGCATCCTATTTAAAAGAACACAGACATGAAGCAATTTCGTTGCTTTAGAAACCCTTATTTATGGAACTGAATAGACCCACTTATAGCAATAGTATGAAAAGTAAATAAATGCACTAGATTTAAGCGAAACCTTGAAATAGAAAAACTACACGTTTGCATGTGCTTCAAATGTCTAAACGGCACCCAATCTGTCACTACCGAGGTTTTCCACTTGCTATTCATGGCAGTGGTTATAAATAAGAAATATTTTATTCTGTTAAATATATTTTCAATTCCTCGTTGATACAAAAAAGCACACAATTTAATAATAAATTACAGCAACCAGGGTCGCCTTGTCGAGTATAATACTATGTACAAACATTTTATGACAGTTGACTCGATTTTCGAGATGTAAATTAAAGTTCTTTACGAATGCTCAAAGTTATTGTGACCTTAGAGGCCAATAAGCTACATTATGTGTTGCTGTGCAAAAATAATTGATGTCATTAACCACTCTACCCCAAAAAGCAGCGTATGCATTTTCAAAGTCAGGTTTTGCTACACACCTAGAAAACTTTAAGGCGTCGGTTGATGAGGATTGCAAAACAAACCAGATTTGGTTTCGGTCAATTGCACATACCGCTGAGTTCAGCTAAACTTCTACGAAATGAAGCAAAACCAGCTGGGTTCTGAAATGCTCAGAGAATATCTTCTCGTACTTTTTACCTAGTATTTGGAGCATTTTGCAATTGTAAATTGAGAAATTTTGAACGGTTTGCCCAAACCTTTAAACCTTATACATGTATGCATGCCCATAGAAAGATGGCGTCTACCTTGCCATTAAATGTATAGAATTGCTAACTATAGTAAACAGAAACATTTTCTTGTCTTCAGTTTTGCTTATTTCGAATTTATAGAGTTCCACATCATAATATGGCAAAAGTCTAAGTTATATTACATGAAAATCATGACATTAACTAAACAGTCTTGCTACCCTCTGATAGGGACTGCGAGGAACTGTGTTGTTTAGCTTTGTATCTCAAATTCTCGATACTTGTTCTACGAAATTCCTGTGTTTCCATGTTGTTTAGGGGGCTCTTCAAAAATGGCGCCATTCCCGGCCTGGCGTACTGTCTGTATAGATGATGCGTGTACATTGCAGCTGGTGAAAGGCCCGCGACATTAAGATGGGGCCCAAGAGGACCATAGGGACTTGGTGCGGTTGCATAAGGAGACAAAAGACTTAGGGCTGGGACGTGTGGGTGCCATCTTTCTACTCCAGACGCAAATGGATGTGCCCCTGCGTGCACATGTGGAGGAACATCTTGTAGAGCTCTGTAATCGTTTGATGGGCCATAAAGATATGTAGGGCTTTCGCGTCCCATGGACTTTTCTCGTTTCCTCCACTTCGCTCTTCTGTTTTGGAACCACACCTGAAATAGATTGCAGCAATTAGTCCAAATTCACAAGATATAAACAAACAAACGGTAACCATCTTCTTGTAGGTGATCTTGTTTAGCAAGAGATGTGATATAATCCCACAGAGTTGGGTTGCGAGTAAAAAGTAAAGAGAGAGGGAGAGAGAGAGAGGCAGCGACAAGGAAGGCAAAATGCGGGCTTTGCGACCAATTAAACAACTAAGTTACTGATCAATATTCGTGTATTCATTACACCTTTTCTTTTAATATAAACAGCTCTTTGTTACCCTAAACGTTCATGAATAGCTCTACCTATTTACTATCTATGTTCGCTTTTGGTGGAAGCTAAAAATGGAAACTAACAAATGAATTCCCCAAAGATATGTCACAGGATGTTGGTTGGTACATCGCGTGGCAAAATCCGTTGAATCACCAGGCACCACAGGCGTAAATTCCAAAGGTAATTAACAGCAATTATTCTTATCTGGCGCCCAAAACGCTATCCATAAACGCCGTTTATACCGCTTTTTATGACGACCTTATTTCTTGTCTTGCCTTACCAGCTTGCAGCTGTCGTAAACAATAACCGCCCTGCGTTTATTGTTCTAGCATTGTTCCAGAAACGCCATTTTAACACTATAATGTGCTTTGTAGAACGAGCTCGATATTCAAACGTTTAAAACAATTAACCAACACAAACGGTTTTTGAAGGCCAAAAATGCTTGGTAAACTGTTTCCTTTGAGAATGAAATAATTAACATCAACACAGAATCAACCTGTCACACACCACAAGTTTCATTTTTTTTTTTTTCAAAAAAAAACCCTGTACTAAATTTTTTGTTTTTCCTCTGCAGTTAGTCAATCAACTGCATTCAAGAGTGCCTTTGTTTGTCTGTTTTTTGCATATCATCTATTAAATGAATTAACCACGTCTTCTTCATTGTAGCAAAGTAGAGTTCGCGTACCTGTCGCATTTTTAAGATATATACATATCACTTAATGGACAAAAAACACCGCAAAATACCGCGTGCTTAGAACTGCCATGCTTTAGGCACGTGTCTTCAAGTTTGAAACCACATGTATGGAAACAACCGACATAAAACAACACTTACTGACAAGCAATTAACGAACAGGTTGAGAAAGCACGATGTTACAAAAGTCTTGAAAAGAAGGTCTGCGTTCTTACTAATTTGATGCAGATAACTGAAAAAACCCCTTACTAAGGGAAACACCTTAAAACGAATATTATTTCAGTCAGTAATCTCTGTACTTGAATCAGACGTGGAGCTTTTCTGTCAAACTCCAAATGATACATATGTTTCAGTTTCAGATTACAATAAACATGCGCTGAAATACGAAACTGCTTCGTCAATAGTTTTCTCAACTTCCCTTTATTTGCATTTGGGTCTCAGATTAGAGAACATTCAAATGTAATAAATAAGATTGACAACTTTGCTATCAATTGACTCTGATAAAAGAGTGTGAGAAATGGCTTTCGGATGTATTAAAGGCTTAATAAAAGCCTTTAATTTGTTTAATATATTTATCATTACAGAAGCATTGTTTTAGTAAGAGAAATGATTGCGTGAAGCTGTCACATTTAAACTTCAATGATTGCAATGAGAACTACACCTAAAAGAGTAGGAAGATTGATTACAAAATACAGCTAAATACATTAAATTTATACACAGGAAAAAGAGCTATTTCAGGATCAATAAATTTTCTTTACTGTCTCTATCATGTTAATCTGGACCAAGATAAGATTTGAAACCTAGGTAGAAAGGCTTCCATTATGATTTACTGATTGTAATCATTCCAGAGCAAATTTACAGTTTTGACAAACATTTCTACGCTGAAAATCGAAGTTTATGACCCGTTTCAGAAACATGCAGCGTCATGTAGCATTCGTTAATCAACCTTCAAAACTGACCTACATTTAGGCAAGAATGAATTTTCCTACAGGGAACATTTCAAAAAATCTACGGAGCTTTTACGGCTGGAACACTCGTAAAAATAGTGATTAACAGACAGACCTAAATTACAGCTCGCCTAAAAAAATACGAAAGTCGGAGATTTCACTCGTTTCCGTACATTTCAGTTTTATCTCGGGACAGCAAAATCCCTAATTGAATTATTGAAATTATTTTTGGCAAGTTCGTTAATAAAACAATATTATCGTGTCTACGACATAATTCAAAGATATGTATAATGTAAAGATGATATGAGGCAATAGGTGAAAAAGCTATTTCACCATAGATTTTTATCTCATAACTTATATCTTGCATCACTTTGAAATCTTTGTTACAAATGGAATAAACGTTAGATATTTGTTGGAAAGACAGAGAGGAGAAATCGAATAAGTAAATTATCGAATGGACAGTGTTGTTTTCATTTACATTCGTGTGGGTTAGTTTTGAAGAACATAAAACAAGCGACGAATTGATTGCTAAATGAATTCACCAAAAATCTGATTTTGTGGCGATAAACTTTGTAATTAAAATTCTTTGAGCTACTTATTATGTAGCTTATCTTTAGCTTTCGCCATAGGCCTTTTAGCTTAAGCTGAAATCAATATTTGGAGTTTCATTAACAGCATCCTTTCCAGATACAAGTTGTCATTTTAATTTCACTTCGCAAACGAGGAGTGGCCGGTTAAGATTACAGATTTGATTTGGCAACCTACTTTTTGTTATCAAGAACATTAAAAGAAAAGTCCAAGCTTGAAAGATATAAAAGGTGTTTTTGTTTATGTTATGCATTCTAAAGGCTGCTAAACTATCAATTGAAACCCCCAGATGTTGGACTTTGTCTGTTTAATTTTGCCTTCCGGCAAACTGACTAAGTGCTATAGGTTTTGAATTTAAATTAACTCCCCGAGACACGCAAAGTCACAAGCAGCTCGTTGGGAAACATAGATTGTTGTATCTTGTTTTGAAAATTAAAAACGCAAACATAACCCGTCGCAGACATTTCAAGCCACATAATTAACTGAACTAATCGTGTTATTTCAAATTCACTGGTGTTGACTCTGGTTAAAATGATCACCGAAGTGAACGACTTTGTTTGTCCGTCTATGGCGCTTTCGCGAACGTGTGTTTACCACGAGCTTCTTCGAAAACAGAACGCGTACGCGTGCTCAAAAAGTTCTGAATTTATTACTTATCGCAAATATCCAGGAATACTTTTCATGTTTAACTTTATTACTTTCAGAAACAACATCACTTTACCAACAATTGTGCTAATACTTGTACACAACCAATCAACTTTTTAAAGTTAATCCCACTGTTTGCTAAACCGAATTTGTCTGTTTTCCTTTGCGTTTTCAGCACAAACTAATTACAAAACTAAGGACACGTTAGGCATAAATTGGAAAATGAACTAACAAAGAAGTTGAACAAAAAAGTGTCAGCAAACTGCAGTGAACCTCAACGTTCAACTCAAAAGAAAGAATGTACATAGTCATGCAACTTGAAAAGAGAGAAGATAGTAAATATGCGCTGTGGAATTTCAAAAAGGGAGTGACGAATGTTTGCCTAAACTAGTGGTAAAGTTCTTGTCTTAGTTTGATATTTCTTTTTGTTCTGTCATTGCTAACTTTAGTTCGTTTGACTTAATTAAAATGACATAAAAAGCGTAGAAAGCAAGAGGTTATTCGTAATTAAGTCGTTTAATTTCCTACCACTAAGCCCCTCGGGCAATCGTTATTTTTACAGCAGCTAGCGTCAGCCCATTGAATTCACAATAAAGACAGGCTGAGCTGTTCAAAAGGTTCTCTGCTAATTGCCAATTCTAGTGTCTACGTCATGTTTAATTATCCACTTTGTCTTCAAGCCTGTTCAATATAACCCATTAATACGACAAAATAATTGCCTCAATTGTGCCGGCTTTGTATACATATTCACTTAAAATGCAATTTGCAGTGGTTAAAAGTGTTTCGTCAGAGCCTCAAATGAATTCAGTGAGATAGCCAGAGTGAGGCGCTTTGCTCGACACACTATCATTGCAATCCGATAAAAATACTCTGTTTCAATATATTAATTACTCTACAAACATGTTTTTCAAGCGCAAGCGTTTAATTTTCGTTTAAGGAAAAAAGACTTTGGTACACTGATTTACAAACCGACAAATGAATGTAAATTTTAATATCTTTGAAATTTCACAAAACCTTCCGAAATTTAATTACATGGCATAAAAATGTCACAACAGAAGCTTAGTTCTGTTGTCTCGTTCATTTTAAGAAAGCCGCGGTTCGAACCAAATTACATCGTTAAATCCATCTTTCGCTTTCAAGACCTGAACTCGCTACTTTTCATGGTTTTTTCACTTTCAAGTGATATTTCGTTTGTCAGTGTACTCTTTCATGTTCGGGCGTAACCTAAAGACCGCGTGGGAAGGCACAGTTTTTACTCGCCGTTCCTGTTATCTTTCGCCATTACCTGTTATTCAGCTGGTAATTTTCCCCCTTTACATCAGCAACTTCGAGAATTGCAATTAACATAACCTGTTAATAAGTAGCTCTTGTGTCACCTCACAAACTGTGAGTTTTCTGTGCACTGAAAGAGCGGTTTTGGCGTTTTTTCGCAAGCGCGCTTTCAAATGGAAAGTGCAGTACACGATAATTACAAAAGTCGAAATATTTTAATTTTCTGAACCACTTTGTAAATCACTAAATTATTGGCAGAGGCGAGGAAATGTTATTCCCCTAGCTTGTTTTCACCAATATAATTGATAAAACAAAGGCTTTCCGACTGTATCACAGCTATTCAATCGCAAAGTTTAAATATTGTTGCATTCTCGGAAATGATGTTTGGGCGCCACGCAACGAGTCGATGCTATAACTTACCACACAAAGGTCGTTCGTTCGCAACTCAACTTTTTAATTTCTCTTATACTGGCTCGAAATGTTTAACAATCAAAGTAAAAGTTAACACAGGAGATAAATGCACAGTCAGCCGAGTAAACTACGAGCCAATTTTATCACGGCCACGTCAGATGACCGAGTAAGTGGATGAATCATGTTCGTACCGCCTCTCGCCGCCTCTAGCTGCGACTCCCAATGAATTGACGATTAACAGCATAGATTACGCGTCCAGTCGCCTTCGCCCAGAGAAGTTCTTCGAACTTCGCAAACCCGTTAAAATACAGAACTAGCTATGAATAATTTAAAAACCGCTCAATACTTACTTGGACTCTTGCTTCGCTTAAGTCCAGCCTCAAGGCTAGTTCTTCCCTTGTGAATACATCGGGATATTGTGTTTTCTCAAAAGCACGCTCCAGTTGATGAAGTTGGTATGTTGTAAATGTGGTGCGACTTCTACGCATCTTTCTCGGTTTGCCATCGCTCTCGTCTAGGTCGTCTTCGTCTTTGCTTCCTTTTTCGTCGCCCACACTTAAATCGTCTAAGAAATGACAAAATTAAGTGGATAAATGAGCAAGAAGCTAACTTGTTAACTTGGCTTATACACTGCAAGAGTTTACTGTCTTGTACTACCGCATGTGAATTTGAAAAAACTACTATGGCAGTGAGTCAGATTTCATATTTGCTATGCAAACATGATGTTCCGAAAGCTAAACGCGGTAAAAGGACGAAAATGATACCTTCACGGCTGGGGCTGAAAGCGAAGCAAACATTTCCTCCTTGTACAAGATGCCAAGGACGACGAAATTGAAGTTTAAACACAAAATTAGCGCCTCATTTAGAGCGCTCCGCTATGTTTGCTGAGCGTTGAGTGAAAAGAGCACAGTAGCGCATTGAAATTCCTTGAGTAAACTGAGTCAAGTGTGTCATAAGATTGTAATATCAATTTGAAACTGAACGAGGTAATGCTTTATTTAATTACCTTCGTCGTCGCTGGAATTTCTTGACAGCTTGCCGTCTTGCTCAAACGAGTCTTCTTGCTTCGGTTTTGGTCTTCGATCATGATTGCCGAGAATCATATCGATCGTATAACCTTTACTCGACGCCTGAATCAAGGCAGATTCTATCGAGTGATCCGTACCAATTTTGTCTCCTTTTTCCTTCTTCTCTGAGTAAACCATACTCGGCCGACCAGTAGAGTCCATATCTAGTCTTCGTTCACTCTGCAAACCAAATTGAGTATCTGTTCTCTCTACGGAGTAGCCTCGTCTTTAGTAATTTTTATTTGAAAAGAAAAGTTAGATTAATGCAGATTTTATATTTGCCTCTAATCTTCGTCCTTTGTTAGTTAATCAAAATGACCGACTGTCATAGTTTTAATCAATGTTTATTTGTTCAAACAAAGGCCTCAAAATAAATAGGCCATTCCAGTCAGCCAATCAGAGCGCGGCGTCATGATTAAGGCGATATTAACAATATAATACTTAAGTTTGTTTGTTCCTTTGCCCCCATGGTCCCCTCTTAACACTATTCCACCCAGGAAGTTGATAAAATGTATTTGTGTCATCGTCTTGTTGTCTTAATTTGCCTTATTACATGTTAATAGCTGCTGAGTACCGAGGGTAAAATCGACGCCATATTGTCGAAGTTGCGTATCACCGGAATTTCAACATCGCGGTCGTTTGACGAGATTTCGCTCTTGAGAACTCATCAGCCATCATTTTTGACCGCACTGTGGTGATTAAAAGACTCCATAATACAATTAACGCCCAATAAAGATTATTAAAATGTTTCTGTAGTCATGGATATTTTAACACCTCGCTCGTTGTTCTACTAAAGCAACAGGGTTAATAAATTAATTAAATTTCGGTTCAAGCCAATTTGTCTCGGGACTACGTGATTGGGCTTAAGATGTTCGGTCGGGTGAAATGCGAGCTGTATAGAGCATAACGACTGAGATAAACTCGGAGATTATTCAAAGAGGCAAACATGGCACTGCATGCAGAGACACCACTGGAAATCGAGAGCAAACTGCGACCATCATTATCACACAAAATGTTTATCATAGTTTTAATTTCAAGCTGCGAAAGTACAAAAGGCTTATTCTTGACAGGGTTGCACGATTTCTAAGTCCTTTTTGGCTCTTTGTTCTCGGAGGTGTGCTGAAGCGCTAATGTATTCGTAACTTTCTAATTAAAGAACAATCTGCTGTGTGGAGCAAACAATTGCTTTGCAAATTAAATGAATACGGATAAAGAAGTCCGCTGGAATATTTCAAAGATAACTAATTAATTATAGCCTTGGGCATGGCAGTTGTTTATCTATGTCGAAACGAAAGCGTGTTTTTACTCAGTGTTCCTTGCTTAATGGCCTATTAAAATAACTGTTAAAACCTTATTTCTTTTGCGTCATGTTCATGGCCACTCGAAACCAAAAACGCAAGTTGCCGCACATGATTCATTCATCATCAGAACACAGCTAACCACAGGGCTTTAGAAACACAAGGGACCTTTTATGTAGTGGGCTTTTAGAGGTTTTGTTTATTGTATCTTTTCAAAGTCTTCTTACGCTTGAAAAGTAGAATATTGCGTCGCTACTTAACACGGATTACACTGGTTGGACATTGCCTGGAGCGAAGTTTAACCATTGTGATAACAACACAAAGAGACTATCCGGAATGGCGCCTAGATTTGTTCGATCTCATAAACGTCTTTCCGCTCGTCTCTCACGTTTCCTGGTGACTATCACGTTGAGGCTCGATAAAAGAAGATTCAGGAATTTTTGCTTCCTAGCATTACTACCCTTCTCACGTACGGCTAATAACTGTAGAAGTTCTTTGAGAACCACTGTTCTCCCACTCCTATTTTTGTACTGCTTTTAAAAACTTGCGATCGTGTCATGAAAAAAACATCACTTAGAGAACCACTTGATGTTTGGCCTTCAGTTCGTGGTAGAGAATAAACTAAGTGGACAAAGAGAGATAAATAATAGAAGACAAACGCCAATATAAAATTAGCCGGTAATGTATGGATGCCTACAATAGCCGAATCGCAATATTGCATTTTGGGCAAAGGTTATCATCAGGTTTGGGAAGAATTCAATGAGCTATTCTGTTCAATTTATAGGTAACTATACTGAATTAGGAGGGAAGTTTCACACCAGAGAACAGAGAGAAGTGCTTACGGTATGGTACGGTATGGAGAAGAATCGTCGAATTCCTCAAGAATTGTAAACACAAAAGGAATAATTTTAACAATTAAAGACAGGAACTTATTCGAAACCCAATAGAAAAAACAGGTTCTATGATCATTCTAGCGCAAATGTTAGACAGCACGCATATGTATAACAGTCTGTTTTGAAGGCATTTTCCCATTATCTGAACTGAGCAAGTAATTTCAAAAAAGTCTAAGATTTAGGTCTCATATTATAAGAATTCAGGGTCTTTCGTAAATTCAGCCACACCTGGAATTGATGTTGTCACGATAGAACTTCGTACTAAATGTGGCAAAAGATAAAAATACGCTTCAATAGACTAAACATAGTTTATAAACTTGACTGCCAATTTCAAGGTTCTCATTTGACTGTGATTAGAGGGCAAAGTTCTAGTTCACATAATGGAATATATTTTATACTTTTTGTCGTTTTCCATGTCAAGTTACGTAATGTTTCAGACCTGCTATTGAGATCAGGTTAGCTATAACTAGCAAAGATAACTGTATTACGCAAGTCTCAATCGTTACGTAACGTGAAAGAGAGCTCACCCTTCAAATGATTGTATTTTTATGTTCAAAACTTGAATATGTTGGAAAGAAACCCAGAGCTAACAACTAAGGGCAAAGAACTACTAACTTCGTTACCCCAACTCCACCTTGAAATAAAATCTAAAGCTGGGTGTATCACTGAGATTTAAAATTAGTATCTGACCAACAAACAACAACTGGCCCGGTTCATATACGTTATGTTTTGACGACCAAAACAACCATATTAAAATTCCTGAGGTTTCAATCAGTTTAGTGTCAGCCGTTAAGGAATTCATCTAGAAATTTTACGTTCCTCGAAAAAAATTTAGAAAATGAAAACAGATTGAATAAAAAATTGTCCCAGACAACCGCGAATGTTGCTATTTCAGTTAGTCATAAATCATTGTCTGTCCGATTGGTCGAACAAAACCTCACGTCCAATGAAAGGTCGTTTAGCAGCTGGGAAATTTATCTCTTGAAATGAAAGTTTTGGAACTTTCCCTAAGACAAATGATGTGCAACCTTGTAGCTTCATTTAGAAAGTTTATCAGGTTGATCTTGATAAGGGGAATTAAAGGAGTCATACCCTAATTTTAACCTACCGAAATTAGACACTTGTGTATGATGTTTGAACGACTTCCGAGCGTGCGTTGCGGCTTCCTTGATGGCTGTTTGCCGAGTCATCGTTACAGCGTATTGTGATGAATGACGTGTGGTTAAATTAATTAGAGTTATTAATTGTTTTTATGACGTAAATAAGCGAGCACTCAGGAAACCCTGGACACATTGAGAAGTTATTATCGTTTTCATGATTTATTCGCTTTTAATTGAGAAATCACACGAAGATTTAATTGTTCGCGAGGTACTTCTTCTAAAGAATGTTAACTTCGACATCCATCCTGGGGAGTCAATGAGATTAAGAGGAACTTAAATAAACTTGTCCGTCTTGATAATTTAAAGGCTAATATTAGTTTAAAAACCCACAACATTGCGGAAAATTTTATTAATGATATATATTGATTGTCTAAACTAGAAACATTCCGCCGCTCTCGATTCGGAGTATTGACAAAGAAAGTAGGAAATGATATTATTAGTGTGGTATAAAACTGGAATAACTGTGAATCATTTTAATTAAGTTCTGTGGATCCACGCGCTCCTGCAAGTCACGAAAGTTTCGAAAGTTTTGGTTAGTATTGGTCTAAGATCACCTAAGTGTTCTGTTATTACGTAAAAAGCAACCTGACGTAGTAAACTATGGATTAGTTGATCCTTTGTGTTTAAAGGACAATTTTGTCCGGTTTCTGATCAAGACATGCAACCTTGTAAACATCTGAGACAAAACCTGCAGAAAGGAAATGCAATATCTAAGTTGTTGGAGTTTTGGAATCTTGAATACAAGTGGTACTTCTAAAGTTTTCTTGAAAAATGCTATGTGGAGAATTTAACCGATGTAAACTCTAGTTCTAAATTTATAACAGGTTTCTCGCTATTTCGCACTGATTGAAACTTTAAACACGGAAAACCACAAAAGTCAATATTTGACGTAGTTCTTTCATTCGCCCAAAGGAAGCCTCGTGATGGACCACATGAAGCCTTTGTCGTCAATTTTGACAAATAATCCATCATCCTTTGGAAAGATATTTTTTACTCAAACAACCAGGATCATATATTGATTGACCGAGCCAGGAATTTCGTTTAGATGACGCTTGAAATCCCGGCGCCCGAAAACTCCTCCGTTTAAGCACAACTGAAATGACACAGGAATTCCGATATCTTTGTTATTCAAGTTTGGCCACATACAGGCCTATATAAACCGGCAGCTTTTGTGACGCAACACCGAGAGCCACGATTTGTTGAGGCATGCAAGACTGCTTGGTTAAAAAAAAAAAAAAA